AGCCTTCGATGTTGGAGGTCGAGAATGCGGGTTGGCATTCTCTCTCGCCCTTTTCGAGTTCTACTTATTCTATTCGACGTTAAAATTAACGACGCCTGATAATTCGAGGATACGATGGACATTAATACAACTTATTGGGTGGTCGCAGTGGATAATACTGCCAGGGCTCTTAATATGGAGCATGAATCGATTTGCAGTAGATGCAGATAGTGATGGAGGCTGGGTTACTAGGACCTTTGATGGCAAGCGTGCGAAAGATAAGGAATTAAAAGAATGGGTTTTTGGCTATGGAGGTCTTCTTGAAATGTTGACAGTTGGAACATGGGATAAAGTGCTACGATATTCAACGCCGTTGTAAGTAGAAGGCTACTCTTTGCGTAGTGTTTTCCTCGACTCCAAAGAAACTATCTTGCCAGTTGAAGATCCACTCTATACTAGAGGAACACTCTAGATTCTTTTTACAAAACTAACCATATGACAGATTTCAAATGGCAGAAGGGTTTTGCTCTCTTTTGGTCATCCAAGCAGCGGGTCAAATCACAAGATACCTTGTAAATCGCAGAAGTGATTCATGGATGGTACGTTTCGAATTCTCAATTGAGTGCTTAAGCTTACCAAAACGTTTAGATTGGGCTACTTGTGCTATCAGCCTCAATTATTTCAAGTGCTGTTTATTTCTTACTCCGTATCACGGGGTTTCCGCAGATCAGCAACGTTGATGCTACACTTATAGGCATTACTATGACTTGCGCAGTCTTTTTGTGTGCATGGGGTATCGGAAGTGGTAGAGGCAATCCAGTGGAGAGCTCCCTACTTTTCGCTTATTGCACACTTTGCATATATCAAATATTCACCGACTACCTTCCATCGGCGACGGATGAGATTCCCCAAGCACCCGTTCAACCCGATTTTCCACCATTTCCTCCTATCATCATGGCTTCTTACTCCACTCTTCTGAGTGTTTTATCAACAATGCCATCTTTCGTCCATTCAAGCTTCTACTTTCTATACGCAGCCTTCCAGACAATCACTCCCTCGATCATTATATCGCTTGCATTTCGAGTTTTTGTATTCTATGCAGCCACCCGGATTATACCAGCGATACGAGAGTCTGGAGTTGGAGCTCTGTCTCAGGATTTGGGTCTTGATGAGAGCGAAGGAGAGGGTAAAATCTTAGGACTACTAAGCTGGTTTAGTCCCTCAATTTTGATAGCTGTTTACACTAGCTTATTGATGCAACATTTCTCTTCTGTCACTTCTGAGGGAAATATGGGTGAATGGTGGATGATGCAAGGTGGTAATACTGGTGGTAATATATGGCGTTGGATTAATGTTTCAGCAACCATGGCGCTTTATGCCCTGGAGCTATATTTAGCAAAGGAGGATATGGATGGATCCCTCACTGGGCATTGGAAGATTGATTGAAGAATTATTGAAGAAGGCAATGAGATATCATATTTCATGTGTCGGGGCTGGATACCTCGGTCATTTATGAGACGACGCGATGGCGTGAAGGCCAACAGCAAGATGTAAAAGACATCTAAAAATGGCGGAGACGGCAAAAGACTAACCCCCGGGTCTATCGAGGAATGGCTCGAAACAAGCGTCTGGATGTGGAGAGGGGAATATAATTGTGATGCGAATTTAGCATAGCGTGGCGTTTACAGTGGGCAGATCTACTATTGTGGGGCAGTTAAATATAAAGTGAAGTGAGTGGAAGCTTACGCAAGAAGCCTTGGGTGGTGTCACTGATGCATTGGGAGTCAGGACCTGGAGCGGGAGCGAGCACAAGAGCATAACTTGTTACTTGGGGATACCCTCTTCAACGCCAAAAGATATCTTATCACCATGTCCGTTTTACGGATCAGAATAATACAATAACAAAATACTTTAGAATCTTGTTTTCTATGCCTTTGATGTTTTTGAGGGGAGTTCATATGTTATTTTTGATTGTTGCGTTTGAATGTTGTTGTTATTTTTTTTCGTTTTTTTCGGTTTTTGTTTTTCTTCTTCCCCGCCATGATATTGATTTTTGATATTGACATGTTCCAGAAACATTTAAAAAAAAAGTCTGTCTGTCTTTTCCTGTCTGATATGGTCCCACTTGATTAATTGAGATTTAAGATTGCTATTTAATATTGCGTGTAGATCACATGTCTAAGATACCGAGGTGGGTAGGTGGTATCAATAGGTAGGCTTGAGGTAGGTAGGTAGGTAGGTAGGTAGGTAGGTATCGATAGCATGAATAGAAAGGGGAATGCTGAGGTGCTGAGGTGCTAAGGGAAATTGGTAGGTGTGGGTGGTATGGGTGGTATGGGTGGTATTGGTGGTATTGGTGTGGGTGAGGGTGAAGATGAGGGTGAAGATGAGGGTGAAGATGAGGGTGAAGATGAGGGTGAAGATGAGGGTGAAGATGAGGGTGAAGATGAGGGTGAAGATGAGGGTGAAGATGAGGGTGAAGGAAGGTTGGTAGGGAAGGTTAGTGAGTGAGTGAGTAATATGGGATTTTGAAGGAATGGGTATGAATGAATGAATGAAATGGGTATGAATGAAAGAAATGGATAATAGAGTTTCTGGAAATTTATTTGGAGTGGGTTTGAGGAAATTGAGATGGGAGATGGGAGATGGGAGATGGGAGATGGGAGATGGGAGATGCATGTATCCGTTAAGTTGTGTGGTGCTGAGCTAGGGGATAGGATAGGTAGGCGTTGATTGTGTGTGTGTGTGTGTGTGTTAGATATTGGGAGTGTAGCGGGGTGGAGGGGAGGGGAGGGGGGAGGGGGGAGAGGGAGAGAGGGAGAGAGGATGAGAGAGGATTGTGTTTGGATTAGATTAGATTAGAAGAGAACTGGAAATAGAATTAGGGTTGTTGAGTTAGGGTTGTTTAATTAGGTCATTAGTTCGTTAGGTCGTTAGTGTATGGGGTCAGACAGAATCCTGGATACTGGATACTCGCTTTGTTTCTGCGTAGTTTGTAAGTTTGTAAGTTTGTAAGATAAAGTCTTGAGGTTCAGGGGGGTGAGTGAGTTGTGCTGGGTTGTATTTTGTGAGGCTGGGCTGGTGTGTGAGAGATTGAGTTTTCGGCTTTGGATTTTCGGCATTGGGTTTTGGGTTTGAGTTCGGGGAATTGAATGGAATGGAAGTTTTGGAATTGGAGGAGACGGTTGGGTTGGCTGCATTGGCTTGGAGGGGCTTGGGGGACTTGGGTGGTATTGTGATTTGAAGTATGTAGTATGGTATGGTATGGTATGGTATGGTTGGTATTGAGTGGATGGATGAATGAGATAAGGCTGGTGGGAAAGTATAAGTTAGGTATACGTAGCTTGGTGGGTGGAAGGTGGAAGGTGGAGGGGAATTGAGGATTTGGTTTAAGCTGGGTGGCTTGGGGGAGGGAGGAGAGAGTTTATGCTTTGATTCATGTATCTATGGTACTTTGTTGTATTGTGTTGTGTTGTGCTGTGTTGTGTGTAACTCGGGGCCAATAAATGTGATATACGAATGAAGTATCTGGGTTCTGGTGAAACTTACAGAGGATGGTGTGGAAATGGATTTTTACCTACCTACCTACCCAATTTTTTCGAGGCGATACAATTACCTATTAGGTACAGTATAGTATAGTTCTACACGGTGACAACTTTCGTTTCGTTTCGTTTCGTTTCAATTTTTCTTTTCTTTCTTTTTGTTTGATACGTGGTATGTACACATACATGTATTCTGACTGACACCAAAACGGTACATACATACATACCTACATACAATACTCGAACAAGCACCAAGTAAGCAAGGCAAGCACCCTTTCAAGTATCAAGCACAGCTCTCCCTTCCCGGGACCAAAGGATTACATTTCCCCGGACTTTGAAATTCCAGACCAACCAATCCAAACCCCCTATCTCTCCAATTGGATTTCCAATCATGTCGATTCACAAGTCACCAGGGATCAACAAGATTTACATACTTCGTACACTATGATCTACGCCGTTTCTCCACCTGCCCCCTTTTTGTTGATCGTTGATGTGTACAATACACTGTGTGAGCACTGAATACTCTCCCGGCGGTGATGGATGTGATAGCATAGCATAATCGCTCGCAGGGGAGATGACTCTCGAGTTCTCAACAAAATTCCTCGGTGGATTATCCATTTATAAATAAATATCTAGGTTTATGGTATGGATTTGTGGTTTGGTGTCCACGGTGTCTTGGGAGCGGTATAGAGATGCTAATGGTTTCTATCCACTTTTTTATTGGGTGATCTTTCTCCACCGATTCTTGCTGTTTTGAGGGATGGCTTGATGTTTATACTGGGGCTAGCCATGTCACTTTGATGGACACGGACGGTGGATAGGTTATTGAGGGATGTGGTTTGGAAGGTTTGGAAGGTTGGAAGGTTAGATGTTTGGATTGAACTGTCTTGGGATTGTGGGAAACCTTGAGGAGGGAAGCTCGAGGGTTAGTTGGGTAATTACATAGTCGTTAGTTTTCTTGAGCTTTACTTGGTCTTGGGACGGAGTAAAGCTTTATCCATGCATGGCAGAATGGATGGTTGAAACTTGTGACTGGCGACTTGCGACTTGCAGTTTGTACTCCATATATATAACTTTGTCACCATCGGGGAAACAATGGGATGTAACCTTCTGGTGCTTTGCCTTGCGAGGTTGATATGTTTTGACGGGGGTGAGAGGGTATATCGAATCAAATATACTTCCGTAGTGTGTCGTCTGTATGTAGTGCGTATGTAGTGCGTATGTAGTCTGTAGGTAGTCTGTAGGTAGTCTGTATGAGTCTGTATGTAGTCAGGACATAGTCAGAACATAGTCTTGCACATCAATTAAAGTTGGACACTGGTAATGGTTAAATGAGAATCCACGTGTGACTGAGATTGGAAGTTGATTCAGCTTATCGTAGATTCGTATTGCAACTTATGTCGTACCGGACCGGTACCGGGCTCCGAACCTTGAATGGGGGGAAGAGGAAGAGGAAGAGGAAGAGGAAGGGGAAGGGCAAGGTGGGTTTGATAACTAAGCTCAACAGTTTTGATATGATATGATTATGATTTTGATTGTGATATCCATGATAGGAAGTATTCGTCTCAAGTACCGCCGTGGAATGAAAGCTGTCGGTATGTAGGTTAGGTAAGGTTAAAATGTATGGACTATGGAAAAGTATAAAGGACAAAGACGGTGAAGGTATCTCATGACTCTTTTTCTCTTTCTCTTCTTATTCTTCCTCTTACTCTTACTCAATATATCTTTCTCAATTGGAATCTGATATCTTGGCTTTATATTGTCTATCCACCTACTTATACTTATTTCCTCTGATATTCACTCTCGAGTCATTGTACTCCCTCTCTCGTATTCCAATCCTATAAGCATCTGCATCTTCATCTGCATCTTTCACCAGATTCTCTCATTGGTTATACCTACCTACCTACATATAAATCCACGTTCCAGCGAACAAACGCTCTCAAGATTCCTCGTGTAACCACACTCTGATCATCTTATCTGCCGATACTCCGCATTTCTCCATCGATATACATACGACGGGACTTTCAGCTCTTTTATATCTTCCCTTCACACTATCAAAAACTCAATTCATCAAATTATAATCGTCAATTTATCTTATCTCTCACCTCACCCCATCTCATCAATATGTCTCGAGTTACTCCTCCCGTTACAAAATTCACACTTGTGTTGAAGAAATGTATGAGTACTACTTCGACTGTCGCAAGTCCTAGTGCACAATTGAAAACTAAGAGTGCTATCAAAACTGATGTATGTATATCCATCCCAATTTCTTCTTCAATAAATAAAACCAAAGTAAACCCCCCAAAACTAACCATTCATCTCAACAATTAGCTCATCTCCAACCTCTCCCATGAACGTACAATCACCACCACCCATCGCCCATCTCCCCCCTCTATCAAAACCATCCGTCTCATGCAAGGATTCCGCACCAGCGCCGCTCGTCCCGTCGCTTCCCCTTCCACCCTCGACTATCTCGTTCTTCCTCGTCTTCCCGTTGAAGAACCTCTCAATGCATTTACTGTCCGAGTCCCCATTCTCCCAGATAACTACTATGCCTCTCAACCGATTAAGGAATCAATCGATACCGCGATTCCTAAACAGGAAGTTCATATCGTGAGTGCACAGCCGGAAGAGGTGGTTGCAAAGGTTAATGTGTTAACGGAGATGGTGGGTAACGAGGCGGAGAGTGCGGTGGATTTGGGACAGTGGGTTGAGGGAGTAAGAAAGAGAGGAGAGGAGATGAGAGAGAGATTTGTAGGAAGAGATAGCGAACAGAGTGTTTTGAGGGAATTGTGGATGAGTCTCCGCGAGGATGTGTGGGGTGAGAAGAAAGTCGCCGTTTAGGTTTCTGTGTAGGAGATGCTGGGGAGTTTTGATTTGATGGAGCGATGGATTGATTGATTGATAGATGGGTATAGATGGAAGGGGGGGACTCGCTCGCTACGCTTAGCTAGAGCTAGAGATCCTTGATGACGTTATGATTTTTCTTTTCCTTTCTGCTCTCGAGTTACGTAGGTAGTTCGTGACTTGATTTGGTTTTGGGGTGTCTATCTTTTACTTTCTTGCTTGCTTGCTTGCTTTGAGTTGTCTTTGTCATTGTCATTGTCTTTTGCTGAAGGTGAAGGATGGGGCATTTGGAGGATCTCGTGGTTGGGGATTCCATGTTACTTAGTTTTTTTATTAATTGAATGTTAAGACACCTTTTTACCTACTTGTTTATTGATTTACTATCATTTTGTTATCTTTTTTTATGATATCTTTTTATGGCAGTGAAGTAGTGACTTATGTGGTGAGTTATGATCTTGATCGTAATGATAATGATGATAATAATAATGATGATATATAATGTGGATTTTCTTTAATATCTACTCAGTATATATATATTATTATTATAATCTATAGATCTTTAATTAGCTCTTTAGCTATCCCCTAAGGTGCCAGCTACGGCCGGGTTCGCTTATAATGCTTTATCAGCCAATCAAAGTATTGTAATCTGAGAGTTCTTGAAATTGTAAATTGTGTTTATTTTGATAATGAAATATAATAGGATTTAAGAACTCCACCAAATTTATTTTAAAATAAAATAGATAAATTTATAATTCAATTTCTAATTGTTATTATATTATTAAATTTTATTCTTAAATTCTAATTGAACAAGTTTTTACATTTGATATAATCTATGAAGTTATTAATGTTCTTACTTGTATACAGGCTATATTTCCCGGCCGTGATTGGTACCTTAGGGGATAGTAGACTGTTGATTGGATATATATTTTGTTTTACTATATATTGTATTATATCTAGATTTTGAAAGTTAGTAGTGGATTGATAATCTGGGAATGGAATCTGGGAATGAGTGGGTAGGTGGGAGGGGAGGAAGGGGAGGAGTTGGAGGAGTATAAGGGGGGAGTGGGGGATGGAATAGGTATAAGGGGGGGAGTAGGGGATGAATAGGATGGGATGGGATGGGATAGGATATATAATATCTAATATATAGTATTAAGAATAAATATTACTTATATATAAGAAAATAAAAATAGATTATATTATATTATATTATATTAATAAAATCTTTAGAATATAATTCATTAAGATTTGAGATTGAAAGAATAGTTAGAGAGGAGTAGGATAAGATTTGAATATTTATATATGTATGTATATATGTATGTATATATATAGTTGAGAAGACGAGGGACTAATAGGAGGAATATAGGTAGAGGTGTATAGTTGGAGAAGAGAAAGAAAGGGAGGAAGGAAGGAATATATAATTAGATGTTTTCATTATTTATATGAATGGAATTATAGTTATATTAGATTAGCTGGCTTAGTTAATAAATTACTAATTTGTATATAATAAGTAATAAGTAATAAGTAATTAGATTTCCAGAGATAGATTTCTTAGGAATCATTTTTATAATCGATTTGTAGCGTGGCGTGGCGTGCGAGTATCTATATAGGTAGGTAGGTATCTAGTAGATAGGTAGTAATCTTCTTTCTCGAGATTGGGTAGTAATGGGGTAGTATGGGATAATAGGGGATGAAATAGTAGATGGGATAATAGGGAAAGGAAAGGAGAAGCAAAGGAAATTCTAGGTCGCTTGAGAGATGGTAGTTAAATTAGATGAGGAGGGTTCTTGGGGTAGGAATATAGGGGATGCGCATATGATGTGATGTGATGTGATAATTTTCTGACTGGGCTTTTTGTGGTGTGCTCTATGTTAAGGTTACTTATGTATTAGAGGATAGAGGGGGGGAGTTTTTTATATATAGCTGGAGGTACATGGTTTGAATTATTCGCTTATTCGACGTTTGGAGTTTGGAGTTCGTTATTGGAAGTACGATGGAGGGATGAATGGATGAATGAATTATATAGCGCTAAGATGGGATTATTCATAGGATCTAAAATGTATCATCGTTTGGTTGTATAGGTATCTGAAGAGAAGTAGTATTGATTGGATGAGATGGGATGAGATGGGATGGGTTGGGAGAATGATACTATTCATGGATCTACTTGAACTTACTTTGTCAGGGGCAGATAGATGAATATGGAGATACAAATGAGTGGCATATGTAATGTTTTGTATGGAAAAACTTGAGTTCTTGGAGATTTGTAGTATGGGATATGAGATATATAAATATATAAGTATATAAGTATATAAGTATATAAGTATATAAATATATAAGTATATAAATATATAAGTAATATTTCCTAGAAATCGGAACTTTAAGCTCTGATGTAAGGGGAATGAAATAATATTGTAGAGGGGGAAGGGGAGAGAGAGAGAGAGTATATTATCACAATATCACAAATTTAAAATGATCTCTTTGCTTCTTCTTACCTAGGTATCGTCTACATATCAGGAGTGAGGAGTGAGTAGAACCTTAGTAAATACATTTTCAGAGTATTCAAAATATCAAATGGAAAGAAAAAAGCAGAGGTATTATTAACTACCTATAAGCTAGTAACTTTCAGTACAATCTTATAGTCTCACGTACGTATCAATTTATAATATGAGATTCCCTCCCCTCCCACAACAGGATAATCAGCCTATCATATCGAATTTGAGATTTTTTTTCTTTCTATATTTTGTTGCGGGGGTGTGAAAGTAGTAGATTGTAAATATTTGGTGCGTGGGAGAAGGTGGATGGATGGATGGATGGATGGATGGGGTTTGGAGGATTTGTTAGATGGTGTGGTATGTTTTAGTATGATATAAGACAATATAAGACGATATATTGAATCGCTCTCTCATCTGAGCAGTAAAAGTGAAAGGTCAGTTAGTATACACAGAGGAGGAGGAAATGTTATATCCTTAGAGAAGCGAGGAAAAGCTAAATATCTTTACTGCGAAATTGTGTTTTTGGATAAGTACCTATTTATATATACATACATCTCGAGTTGGAAAATGATGTATAGATATTCAATACATATCACTAAAAGAGGAATGAACATATAGGTATCGAGCATATCTCGAAAATGTATATCTTTCCACCAAACGCTTGATTTCCTATAACTCATTTCTCCAGACTTTCTTTCGACTCAAAATTATATTTATATTTATACTCTCAACAGATTCTATCAGTCAAATAAATAATACTAATACTAATCATATCATATCATATCATATCATTTTCTAGAAACTATCCGTGGCACATCTAATCATACCTAGGTAATTCCAGAGACTCGAGATAGATATATGAGTTCTACACATCCAACAAAAGTCTTTCTAGATCTCTAGACTTACACTCACTCCTATTAAATAGCACCGATTAATTCAGAAAGTGACGGAAATTAGGAATTAAATTGAAAATAACAGTTTTCTATCCCATACCCATCTTAGATATGCGTGTCCAGCCACTCGAGATAAATGGATGTATATAAATTCTCTGTGCAAAAGAGGATCTTTCCTCGTTAATTTAGGATGAGCTTTCTCTTTCTCTTCCGCTCTCTATATTAAGTTAAGCTATCTCATCAAAAGATGTGAATCTCCGAAAATCGAGAAGCTGGGAGTTTCCTACCTAATGTGGTTTGTGAAAAATGTATGTATCACTATAGAATGAAAGAGGGATCTTCGATGTCGGTATGGTTAATGGAGATTCTAGATATAACAATGCATATTGGAATTATAGGATCCAGGTGTTGATCTTTACACGTTAGGATGGTTAGTTGGTTCATGAGCTGTTGAACTTATGTCTATATATGGAGATGTGAAGCTGTTGTACTGTGTTTTGTGAGGTTGTTTGTCACTCGAAGCACTGTGTACAGGATTGTTGTTTTGACTTCTTATGGGTAATGAAGAGAAGAGAGGAGAGAGATGGATATTGTATATCTAGAGTGGGATAAGAAGAGGAGGGTAAGGGAAATAGGTATCGATAGATGGATTATGAGTTGGATAATTACAGATATTTGTGTGTCTTATATTTGTTTAATTGTGACTCTAAATGTGCGGAAAGCTGAGAATTATAGACTTATGAGTATTGAGTATTGACCCTGAAATATACCATTGTAGTATTTCCATTTTGGCAACAAAAATGAAAGAAAGATATTGGAGGCTTGGGTTTGGTGAACGTGGATGCAAATTCCTAATGATGTAGGCATCTAATAACGCAAACCACGGAGCAAAGCTTCCTATTGTGTATATGGAAACGGGCATGAGATGACATTTGCAGTCTGCAATAGAATTTGAACTCACATTACCATCTCATGATAACAACTTCCTCCTTTGAAGACGCTATATCCACGAAGAAAATACGAACAGTGTGATAAGCTTCCGAGTTTGAAAGCGGAAGAAACCCACAAGTCTTGGAGTTTATCTGTAGAAATACCAGTATGGATTTAAATCTTGATAGGATATTGCGCCATCACAAACTTTCCTGTTGCATATCCGAAGAGGGGTAAAAGAGAGGGGGTTTGAAGAAAATTCTCGAGACTCATCTGCCTAGTTTCGTGTCGATCGGGATGAACTGTCATGTATAGATTGCCAAGCAAGACTTTTACAAACGGTCGCAAGAACTATCTTGTCGTGTCTTTTCTCCTATAGTTGCTATATGCGTCTCTCTTGACTTTTTCAAGCTCATGCTTATAACTTTATTTGACGTCTGAACGTTATTCCTCATGGAATGAGGAACTGAGAAGGTCTAGACCCTCGAAGAACCTTGATGGGTTATGGTAATCATTTTATCACACATTTAATGACTGGATCGTGAGAGAGCTTTCAACCCGAAAAGAGCATATGATATGATGATATTTAAACTTTAAAACTTCCTGAAACCGGCTCTCTGACTGACTGGCATTATTGAGAACGTATCATGCTTGACTCTGCAAAACCAGATAGTAGCACGATATCACTGGAATGTTGATGCGAAAGAGTATAAATCTATCTATAAAGCCTCTTCCGTCCATATCTCAGGTAGTTTGAATATACTTTTCGGATCGTTAAAACATCCCGCCCAGTCTTGTAGAAATCGGGGCTGCAGAGACTTAAGTAGTGTTGACCAAGGAGAAGATAGCATGACATGCGTATTGCCAATGTGACAGATCACTAAATACTGTATACTAAGCATTACGGGAGAGGATCACCACTCGACTCCTCATTGCCAAGAAGATTGTAGATACACAAGCCTTCCACTTAATCTCCCCAAGAGAAGTAGAACCTCTTAAATAGTCACTCTCCTTCAAGAAAAAGGTGTTGAACAGCCAGAGATCTTCATGAGTTATTGACTGAATGGAGTGGGTCAACATTTTTCAGATGAAGCTCACGGAATATACCAGCA